TAAGGGCCCCGAAACACAATCCCTAAATCTAAGGGTAGTGGTCCTTTCATATTATGGCCTCAATTAGGTTGTACTTGGAAGCTTTCTTGACTTAGTAAGTCTGCTTAGTGTCCCCTGGAAACCCTTTTAGTTTTTCTCATAAACCTTCCATACTAGCCCTACTTACCACGTCATAAAATGACTTCCAAGTAGCGAATGCGTGGGAGTTCTTTGTGAACCTAAGCCCCTGAACCCGAAGCACGGGGCTCCGAGACATCCTAAACCCTAACTCTCTAAGGGTTGTTACACGATCCCTTACTATGGTCCCTTGCCTTTGAAGGGTTCAGAAGTATGGGCCCTTGGGTTGTTCGGGTATGTAAGGGGCATACTGAGGGGCCATGTAACTACCCATTGAAACTCGGAACCCCTGGCACCCTAAACCCTAGACCCTAGACCCTACATCGTGGTGCAGAGCACCTACAATCCCAACTAACTGCGTCTACAAGCAGGTTCTATTTAGACTGCAGTTGGGGTTGTAAGTAATTACCCATGAACCTTCAAGTACAACCCTAAACCCTAGATCCTGAACCCTGAATCCTGAACTCTAAACCTCCGAACCCAGGCGCTGAGAAGTGACCTCGAAGTCCAGCTGTCCGCCGCACGCGAAGAGGCGCCGGCTGTGGGTCACAGGGCTTAGGGTAGTTTAGGGTTTAGGGTTTTGGGTCTTTCAGGGTTTGGGGTTTTTAGGGTTTCGGGGTTTTGAGCGTCAGGAGTTGTTTGGGTTTTGGGGGTTTAGGGTTTAGGGTTTGGGGTGTAGGGTTTTTCGGTTTTTTTTAGGGTTTAGGGTTTGGGTTTTGGGGTTTAGGGTTGTTGGGTGTCAGGGGTTAAGAGCTCCGTTTACACTGCCCCTGAACCAAACGCTACCAATTGCTTAAGAACTGCCCACCCCAAAAACCAAAAGAATGATAACAAATGATAATAATATTCCCCATTATCAGATTAATATAGGATTGTCTTTTGTGTTTTTTGGGGGGGGTTCTTACGCAAATAGTAGCACACTGATCCTCGGCAGTGCCCCCAAACCGAAACGCAATAAGCGAGAAGCGAGGCGGAGCTCAGTAAGACCTCGGGTTCGCCGGGTTTTGCTTTCATTCCTTGGAGACTGGGTGTGGGAAATACTGATCTTCCATGACAAGACCTACTTGGAGGTTGGGTACTTAGAACCCCAATGATAAGTCTAACTAGTTACTTAATTGTAACCTACTTAGAGGACTTAGGGGGGCTATAATTGGGGCTACAGGTGCCCAGAACCTCCAAGTAGCACGATAGATATCCCGACAGTCGGCATGTCGGTGTTGCGCGTTTCCTTGCGTTGGAGCCTCCTCATGAGGTCGACCCTACTCCGTGCTCTTGGATTTGAGTACAGACCCCAGACCCCAAACCCTAGACGCAAGCCCGCACCCATTACGCCCCAAACCCTTAATCCCAGAACCCTTAAACCTCCTGGCTTGTCAGGCTGCTACAGGCTCCCAAAACCCTGAACCCAAAATCTAAACCCGGACCCTTAAAAACTCTAATTAAGCCCTACGGCCCCAAAACCCTAATCCTCACAAACCGAAGAACCCAAAACTCTGAACCCTGCCCTGGCCTAAACCCTAAACCCAAACTCCGTACAGGCCAAGCATGATTAGGTTTGGGGTTTCGGGTTTAGGGTTTAGGGTTTGGGGTTTGGGGATTAGGGTGTTTCATCTTGCCTCCAGACCTGTTCAGGCTGCAGCCAAAGAGGCCAAGCTCAGCGATGGCGCTGGCGCTGCCCAGGCTGCGGGCACCGGTCTGTCCTAGAAGCTCTTCACCCCAAAGCCCAAACTCTAAACCCCAAACCCGAAACCCCAACCCTAATTCCCAAACCTTAAACCTCAAACCCCAACCCTATAAATCCCAAACCCTAATCCCCAAACCCGAAACCCTCAAGCCCCTGCAACCTGCAATTACTCATAGGTTCAAAACAGAAACTCCTCGAAACTTTCCCAGGGTCTGAACCGTGAATAATTTCCATAAGTCCTCACGGTGGGAATCTAGAAACCCTAAACCCTAAACCCTAAACCCTGAACCCTAAACCCCAAACCCTAAACCCTAAACCCTAAACCCCAAACCCCGAAACCGTAAACCCTGGGCTTCGGTCGGTCGTCGGGCTCCTGTGGGGGTTCAAGGCACTTTTCTGGCAGCCTGTGGGATGTCGAAGGCTTTGGAGTTTGGAGGGTTTAGGAGTTTAAGGGTTCAGGGTTTTGGTTTTTGAGGGTTTAAGAGTTTGGAGGGTTTGGGGGTTTAAGGGTTCAGGGTTTTGGTTTTTGAGGGTTTAAGAGTTTAGGGTTTAGGAGTTTGGGGTTTGAGGGTTTTGGGTTGTGTGCCTCCCTCCTCTCACGAATCGAGCGCAAGTGTGCTTGCAGGCAAGGCTCCGCAGGCCTTGAGTCCAATCCATTGTCTGTTGTGGGATTTAGGGTTTAGGGTTTAGGGTTTAGGGTTTAGGGCCTGAGGGTTGAGGGTTTAGGGTTTAGGGTGTGCAATAGGGAGCCCAGCCCAAAGCCAGCCGGTGGAACCGTACTGTTTTAGGGCCTATGGGGTTTGTAAGTTTTTTTTTTTTTTGTGTCTGTGTGTGTGTGTGTTTTTTTTTTTTTTTTGGGGGGGGGGGGGGGGGGGGGGGGGGGGGTTGAGTAGGGTTTCTGGTGTTTAGGGTCCAGGGTGCAATGCACGTGCAGCTTGTTCGGCTTGTTTGGCGGTGGCTCAGTGCCGACTCCAGGCAAGGACATAGCACATGCAGTTTGCGCAGGAATGTTCCCTTGTTTGGGTACCGCCTTAAATATGAGGCTCCACGTTCCTCATTTGTCATTCTAGTAACCCCTCCCCCCCCCAAAAAAAAAAAGAAAGAGAAAAACAAACAGCAAAGAAAACAGTAAAAAAACAGACGGAACTCTCGATCCAGATCATAGCCATCTCATCTGTCGAACATGTTCTGCCCCAAACGACAGAGCCAGCACGTTTCGTAGGCGGCATGCTCTAGATGGAATTCCGCGGGCCTTCTGCCATTCAGCTTCCGGCCTAAGCGATGCTGCACATCAGGATGCTGTCGGGGGGCGAGCTCCCAAATATACCAGTGGCTTCCTGGAATGAGGCAGTTTCGGTACCCTTTCTCCCCCTACATATACCCTTTAAGGGATTATGGGGTACCACATTCCCTCACTCCCTACGAAACCAACAGTAAGGTGGAGGAGCTCGAGGATGTGCGCGCCTTGAAGAAGCACCTGAAGCAGCATCACGGTATGCCCCCGCGATTTAGGCAGCAGCTTCTGCTCGAGGGGAAGAGCCTCTTGGTTCGAGTTGGAGCTGAGTTCCACGAGGGGCTATGATTAACCTTTATAGGGTTCGTGATGGGGATTTATTTGGGCCTAATAGCCCAGCCTTAGTAGCAGAGTAGGTAATCCTTTAACCTTTTTGTGGCGATGATAGTTCCTCTAGAATCCCAATACTGGACAGCTAAGGAGCTGAGTTTGGGCTGGAATGACCTTTGTTCGGGGCGGAGGGGGGGGGAGGGGCCAGGGGTGCTCGGGAAAGTACCTAAGGGCCTCCACCGCGGTTCCCGCACCCTCAACACACTCTGTAAATCCCGAAACCCGAACCCTAAACTAAGAACCCTACACCCTAAACCCTGAACCCCACACCCTGAACCCCAAACCCTAAACCCTAAAACCTAAACCCTAAACCCCAAACCCTAAGCCCTAAACCTGAGGTCTGGAGGATACCGCCAAGCTCGACGCCTCCATGGACTTGGAGCTCGTGGTGCTGACTTTTGCAGAAGCTTTGGCGTTCGGCCTCCTTGGGGTTTAGGGTTTAGGGTTTAGGGTTTAGGGTTTAGGGTTGAGGGTTGAGGGTTGATAAAAGGGTTTTGGGTTTAGATTTAGGGTTCAGGGTTTAGGGTTTATAAATGGGTTTGGGGTTTAGGGTTTAGGGGTTTAGGGCCTTGGGCTCATAGGATTTGGGCTTTGGGGCCTTGGGGCTCATAGGGTTTAGGATTTAGGGTTTAGGGCTTGAGGGCTTGGGGGCTCATGGGGTCCTTAGCAGCTGGGTTTTTCTGTGAAGGGTGTGAGCTTTTTAGGGCCTTGTGGGGGGGGTTGATAGGGTTTTATAGTTTTTTTGATATGCAACCCTCCTTAAACCCTAAACCCTTCATCCCGAAACCCTAAACCCCGACATCCCAGAATCCCTAAACCTCAGATCCCTAAAAACTAAATCCCTGAATCCGTAAACCCCAAACCCTAAACCCTCGACTGTCTGAAGATAAACCCTAAACCCTAAACCGTAAACCCGGAGAGGTAGTATGCGGGGGGGGGGGGGGGGGGTAATAAACCCCAAACCCTACACCCCAAACCCTAAACCCCAAACCCTAAACCGCTAAACCCTAAGCCCAAAACCCTAAACCCCTAAACCCCTAAACCCCTAAACCCTAAACCCTAAACCCCTAAACCCTAAACCCTCAACTCTCTGAGGAAGCCTCCCGCGTGCAGATCGAAGCGCTCCTGACTGCGGCAGAAGTGGGCTCGATAGCCTTGGCTCCTTGGCTTCTGCTCTACTTTAAAGGGTTTAGGGTTTGGGGTTTAGGGTTTGGGGTGCAGGGGTTTAGGGGTTTAGGGGTTTAGGGGTTTAGGGTTTAGGGATTGGGAGCCCTAATAGGGTTTAGGGTAGACAACTGGATAAGAAATTGGAGTCGCCATTGATTTTGTGCGTTGTTATAGACTGCGCTGTCCTAGATTCTGCGTTGTGATAGATCTAACTAGGCTGTCGGGATATTCTCTGTATTGTGTTTAAGAGGATTTTTAAAAAATCATATTCTATACAAAGGGCGGGCCAAACCTATAAAGCTCGGTACTAATTTCGGAATATTGGTGTTTCTTTGGTTTGGGGTATTTACTCTTGTGGTTTGGGGGCTGTTGCATCCATGCCACAGTGCTTGTGGCAAGTCCCCGACTATGGAAGATCGGGACCTTGGTTTCGAGCATCCTGGACCCCAAACGGTAAACCCTAAAGCCTAAACCCTAAACCTAAGCCCTAAACCCTCACTGAGATGTTAGGTCCCCCCCCCTCCTCCCCCTTCCCCTCCCCCCCTCCTCTCCGCTTAAAACCCTAAACCCTAAACCCTAAAAGCCCTAAACCCTAAACCCTAAGCCCTAAACCCTAAACCCTAAACCCTAAACCCTAAACCCTAAACCCTAAACCCTAAACCCCCCCCCCCCCCCCTTCCCCCCCTCCCCCCTCCCCTCCCCTTCCTCTCCATGCAGGTGGAGACGATGCTCCGGGTGCCACAAGATCCCGATGCGGCGAACGCGCGGGGCGACCGGCCTCTTGCAGAGGCACTGGAACTTAAACCTCTGGGCACCCTAAACCCTAAACCCTAAACCCTAAACCCTAAACCCTAAACCCTAAACCCTAGGGGGCCCAAACTCCAAGTCTCCGCACGGCCCCCGGGCGCTCAAGCACATCTCCGAGAGCTTTGCTGCCCTTCCACTCCCTGAACTCCACTAAGGGCAGGAAAGGGGTTACTGGAGGATATAACCAGGTTATAACATGGCTATAACGTGATACGTGATTATAAGCCCTAAACCCTAAGCCCTAAACCCTAAGTTAAACCCTAAACCCTAAACCCTACAAGTAGCTTATTAGCAGGTTATAAGCGGCTTATAGTCAATTAATAAGTTGAGATTCACTGAACTCCACGGCTCGTCTCTGTCTCTCCCCGCCTGTCCTCTCCTATCCTCCTTTGGGTTTAGGCTAGGGTTGAGGGTTTAGCGTTTAGGGTTTACTTAGGGAGACTTGGAAATATTGGTTTGGTACTAGAATTCCTAAGAAACAGCAAAAACAGATTTCTGCTAGGGTTCCATGTTCAGTATAGTTTCGGGTTCAGCGTTCAGGGTTTTGGGTCCTCCTCTCCTCTCCTCCTCCTCTGCCTGGCAATCCCTCGTCGGGCGGAGGGCCCTGGAGACTCCCGAGCGCTCCGGCAATAAGGTTTAGGGTTTAGGGTTTAAGGTTCAGGATTTAGGGTTTAGGGTTTACGGTTTAGGGTTCTGGAGGCTTTAGGGTTTAGGTTTCTAGGGCTGCAACAATAGCACTCTTAAGTCCAAGGCTACTGGCAACTCGTCCCCCTGAACTCGGCTCGTCTCCAGGGTTTAGGGTTTATATAGGGGTTTCGGATTTAGGGTGTAGGGTAAAAGGGTTTAGGGTTTAGGGCTAGGGTCTAGGGTCTAGGGTCTAGGGTCTAGGGTTTAGGGTTTAGGGTTTAGGGTTTAGGGTTTAGGGTCTAGGGTCTAGGGTCTAGGGTCTAGGGTTTAGGGTTTAGGGTTTAGGGTTTAGGGTTTAGGGTTTAGGGTTTAGGGTTTAGGGCTAGGGTTTAGGGTTTAGGGTTTATCAGGTTTAGGGCTTAGGGCTGCGGAGGCCTCCATGGGTGGCCATCTGGAGGTCGTGCGCTTGCTGCTGGAAGCGGGCGCTGACAAGGACGGGGGGGGTTACGGAGTGCTGACTGGGATCTTGGGGGAGGGGGGGGGGGGTTGTTATAGCATAAGTCTGGGACCTGGGGGGGGGGGGGGGGGATATTATAGCATAAGTATGGAGGGATCCCTAGGGGGATATAAGTAAGAATTATTCCGACTCCTATATTAGCCTGCCTTAGGCCCCCCTTTCTTCCCGTGGTTTTTAGGGCTAAAGTTTAGGGTTTAGGGTTGAGAGTAGCTAGGACCCCAGAGTAGGCCCCTTATTCCTTTTTTGGGGGGGTTTAGGCTGTCTTACAAACCCTTTGAAAGCCAAAAAGGGTACGCTTTTTGTTCCTAGGTTGCTCCTGGGTCTAGTCAAGGTTACCGAGCAGCGCTATCTCATTCGGGGCGCTTTAACAACCCTAGTGGCGGGGGGAGTAGGGTAGGGAGACCTCCTATGCCCTGTAAGCCCTAAGGCCTAAGCCCTGAACAGTACTTAATTAAGGGCCATCGCTTTCTTTAAGCTCCGCGCTCAACTTCGGCGGGCTTCGAAGGACTTGCCGATCAGAAACGGCAACACATCCCTGATGCTGGCATGTGCCTTGGGGCCTAAATGGTTTTTTTTTCCCAAGCTGCACTTGTTCGGTTTCCCGGACCCCCCCCCCCCCCCCGGCCCGAGAATTGGGCTGCTAAGGCCATCCCTGAACCCTAAACCCTAAACCCTAAACCCTAGACCCTATACCCTACAGGTCAGTCCAACCATTCGGACGTCGTGCGCGAGCTGCTACAGGTCGGCGCGAGCACGGACTACGCCACCAAGGATGGCGCGACTGCTCTGATCCTTGGGGCCGAGATCAACCCTAAGAGGGTTTAGGGTTTAGGGTTTAGGGTTTAGGGTTTTGGGCTAGCCCTAAAAGGGTTTATGGTTCATATGGGTATAGACCCCAACTCGAGGGTTCTTAGTACCTTAACCCTAAACCCTGAATAGGGACGAAATAAACCCTAAAAGGGTTTATGGTTCGCATGACCTTCATAGGAATTATAGTAGTATAGGGTATAGGGCCCCATCTTCAGGGTTACCTTGATAGGACTTCTAGAAGTATAGGGTATAGGACCCCAACTTTAGGGTTCATGGTACCTTCATAGGAGTTCTAGAAGTATAGGGTCTATAGGGCTTGACCCCAACTTTAGGGCTCATGGTACCTCAATATGTAATTCTGGTAGTCTAGGGTATAGGACCCCAAGTTTAGGAATTCAATTGGTCCCCAACCCTAAACCCTAAACCGTAAACCCTAAACCCTAAACCCTAAACCCTAAACCCTAAACCCTAAACCCTAAACCCTAAACCCTAAACCCTAAACCCTAAACCCTAAGGATGCTGGCAGCTGGCGGGGGCCATGTTGAAAGCGTGCGCCTCCTACTCGCGGCCGGTGCGAACCCTGGGGACCAAAACGAACCCCAAATGTAGGGTTTAGGGTTTAGGGTTTAGGGTTTAGGGTTTAGGGTTTAGGGTTTAGAGTTTAGGGTTTAGGGTTTAGGGTTTAGGGCACCCTACACGACTATAAACCCTAGTAAGGCATATGAGCCATAAACCCTTCTAGGGTTCACGTCGTCCGCAAGGAACACGAACTTGGCGACGTGCCAAAGCGGCTTCACTGCTCTGATGCTGTCAGCTCAACTGGGCCACGCGGAAGTTGCGGCGAGGATGCCATTAGGGTTTAGGGTTTAGGGTTTGGGGTTGAGGGTTTAGGGTTTAGGGTCCCCTATTTCCCTTTTTAGTTTTAAGGCCGGAGTGTCCCTAGCAAAGGACCCTATTTCCCGTTTTAGTTTTAAGGCCGGAGTGTCCCTAGCAAAGCCCAGATTAAGCCTCAACCCTTAACCTATATGTATCTACCCCGAAACCCGAAACCCTAAATCCTAAACGCTAAACCCCATAAACCCTAGAAACCCTATGAGCCCTAGAAACCCTGTAAACCCTCTAAACCCTCTAAACCCTGCAAACCCTACAAACCCTAAACCCTAAACCCTAAACCCTAAACCCAGGTCGGCTTGCTCCTCGAAGCCGGGGCAGACAAGGACGTGCCGACCGTGGACGGGGTGACCGCTCTGATGCTGACCTCGGCGACTCGTTTAGCTTTGCCCTTCTTTTTGGGGGCTTCTGAGGTTTGGGTTTAGGGTTTAGGGTTTAGGGTTTAGGGTTTAGGGTTTAGGGTTTAGGGTTTAGGGTTTAGGGTTTAGGGTGTAGGTTCCTTTCTTGGGCTTCTGAGTTCCCTTGTGATCTACTCATAGCCAACAGACATATACAGAGCTACCCTTCTCAACATAGTCACACCCGTCAACCAATTGTAGACCAATTCCCTAAACCCTGAAACCCCTCCCCTAAACCCTAAACCCTAGACCCTGAACCCTGAAACCCCTGTACCCTTCACCCTGAAGCCTAGGAGAAGGGCCACGCAAGCGTCGTGCGAGTGCTCCTGGAAGCAACTTTGCTGCCGCGTAGGCAACCTTTATATAACTTCTCGAAGTAACCCTAAACCCTGTAAACCCTGTAAACCCCAAGGTCAACCTTTTTCCCCGACGAAGCTCAGCCAGTAAGGCAAAGACTGCCATGAATGCGAAAACTCCCGGCCGCGGCAACACGGCCTTGCTCCTTGAGAACTGAATGAAGCGCACATGGGCGTTGTTCTAAACCCCCGCCTCTTCGTGTTTAATTGGGCCGGCCACACATATGTTGCCTTCGTGTAACCATGGCGCCAAAAACCAGCATGGCGCAAGCGGGCGCAAGGGCGAGCGCAAGGGCCAAGAACCCCAAACTCGAAAATCAGGCCGTCTGCTAGAACTATATCCAGGCCGTTAAAGTACATTATACTTCTGGTTTACGACATACCCTCAACCCCCAACCCCCAACCCTCAACCCTCAACCCTAAACCCTAAACCCTACGGTTTAGGGTGCTGAAACCCTAAGGCCCCGAAGTCCTCAGGCTCTCTAAACCCTGAATCCCCCCGTCCTCCCAACCTTAAGCCCAAACGCCCCCAAAGCCCTCATGCCCTTGCGTGGCTCCACAAATGGGACAATGAACGATATTCCTGACACATTGGGTTCAGGGTTCAGGGTTTTTGGCTGAGCAATGTGGGCTTAGTTTAGGGCTTAGGGCTTAGGGCTTATAGGGCTACAACACTAAACCCTAAACCCTAAACCCTAAACCCTAAACCCTATGAAGAAGTCCAAGGCTACTGGCAACTCGCCAGGGCCACTTGGACGCCGTGCGCTTGCTGCTCGAATTTGGTGCTGACAAGGACCTGGCGACCAGTCCCTTGGAGACCAGAAGGATCCGTTTAGTCGCCCTAAACACTAACCCCTAAACCCTAAACCCTAAACCCTATCCCTAAACCCTACACTCAATGATCTCTGAGAGAGATGTGGGGATCTAAGGCTGGGGGTCTGGGCGTTAAGCAGGTATTTGGGAGACTTTCTGTTTGCCCTTGAAGCATATGGACCCCGAGCCCCCACAGCCAAAGCCCTACACCACCGTCAAACCCACGACCCTTCAACCCAAAACCCTCAACCATCCCAAGCCCGAAGCCCCTAAACCCGAAACCCTAAACCCTAAACCCTAAACCCTACTAAAACTCGAAAACCCTAAACCCAGTCCTTTCTGAAACCCAAACCCCTAAACCCTAAAAACCACTAACCCCCTAAACTCCAAACCCTGCCAGGGCTCGTGGAGTCCCTAAGGCGACGGTGGCACTGCTCTCATGCTAGCAGCTCAGGAGCTTTCGGCGTTCTTGGAAGTAACTTTTCCTAAGCTGACCGGTGCGTCTTCGTAGGGAATTGGGGAACCCTAGACCCTGAACCCTGGACCCGAAACCCCTAAACCCGACAGGAGTATATCTAGTCCCTAAATGGGGGGGGGGGGGGGGGGGGGTGGTTCTCTAGGGGTGTATGGCACCTACTTGCCCTAAACCCTAAACCCCTAATTCCCCAAACCCTAAACCTAAGCTCCCGGTTCCTAGTAAGAGCTGGTCAGTACAAGTACCTAAACCCTAAAGCCTGCACCCTAATCCAAATACCCGAAACGCTAGGGTAACCCTAAACAGCACTGTAAAGTGCCGTGGGATGCCTTTATTCAGAGCGTCCATGAAGGGAAGGAAACCCCCCTAGGCCTTAAACCTACAAATCCTAAACCCCTAATTTTCTACTTCCCCACCCCGTATTCCCTAAGCCCTAAACCCTAAGCCCTAAGCCCTAAACCCTAAACCTTAGTTCCCTAATTCCCGACTCGAAGAACCCACCATGTCCCTAAACCCTAAACGGGTTAGGGTGTAGGGTTAGGGTTAAGGGTTTAGGGTTTAGGGTTTAGGGTTTAGGGTTTAGGGTTTAGGGTTTTGCCCCATAAACCTCCCCTTACTTCCCTAATTCCCTAAACTTCTGATTCCCTAACCCCCTAAACCCATATTTCCTTACCCCCTATACTCGTACTTCCCCAAACCTCTTAAACCCTTAGTTGCCTCATTCCCTTAAACCCTTAGTTGCCGAATTCGCTTGAACCCTTAGTTGCCAAATTCCCTTAAAACCCTAATACCCGAATGCCCAGCCTAAACCCTAAACCCGAAACCCCAAACCCTAAACCCTAAACCCTAATTATCTGAGCACCATGGCAAGCCAAGGAAGGGCACGTCGACATCGCAAGGTTGCTCATAGAGGCGTCGGGGTGCCAAGCCCGTAAAAGGCGCTTATTAAGGGTTTAGGGTTAAGGGTTTAGGGTTTAGGGTTTAGGGTTTTGGGTTAGGAAACCTTATAAGGCCAAGCCCAATCCCGAGAAAGCATCAACAGAAGACACCTAAAACCCTGAACCTTTGAGCCCTCCAATCCCTGCAAAACGCCCAGGCGCTTACAACCTTAGCATCCCCCCCCCCCCTACTGCCCTCCTAAACCCTAGACTCGGGGCTTGAGCCGCCGCCTCATTTCTCCTCGACGGCGCAAGCGGACCCCGATCCTTCGCCCGCCTCCCACAGCTCGGAGGTCGGTAGCACCCACGATAGGCCCAGTACCGATTTTTTGGAGTCAAATCCCTCCACCCACAGCCACAAGCCCGGACCCTTTTGTGGAGGCCTGCCCCTGCCTGGGACCTCGAGGCCCTTGGAAGCCGCAAAATTGGAAAATCATGAGGTCATTTCTGCCGTCAAATCTGTGCATACTTATTACTGGAATTGGCAGTTTTTTGGAGGGATTTGTGACGGCAAGCCCCTGAACTCTCTGGACGGAGCACATTTTTGGAAGCAGGCGATTGGCGAGAGTTTGGGCCTAAAACCCTACAAGAAAATGGCCTGAGCGGCACGGGGTGGGAGAAAAGTGTTAGATGGCCCTCCGCAATCGGGACATACCAGGATGGGCTATGATTCCCTATAACCCCTTAACAACGGCCCTTTCTAGGGTCTAGGGTTTAGGGTTTTAGGGTTTTGGGGTTTTGGGGTTTTAGGGTTTAGGGTTTAGGGGATTATAAGGCCGAATATGCCATCCTGGTAGCTGCCTTTCGCACGTTACGAAGCTTTCGAAGGTACTCGGCATCCCGAGCTTCACAGCTTCTGCGCCATGTCACAGCAAACCTTGAGCCCTAAACCCTGAACCGTATACCCTAAACCCTAAACCCTAAACCCTAAACCCTAAACCCTAAACCCTAAACCCTAAACCCTAAACCTGTCCCCCCTTGCAGGCTGGGGCCAGCAAGGACCTGACGACCAACAACGGAACCACGGCGCTGATGTTGGCATCTGGTGCCTCTTTCGCAGGTTTAATCGGGCACTCATCAGGGTTTAGGGTTCAGAGTTTAGGGTTCAGGGTTTAGGGTTTAGGGTCATATTTAGGGCTTAGGGCAATCCTTATTGCTCAAGGCCAAGGGTGAGGTGGGTGCTTAGGGTTTGGGCTTACGGTTTAGGGTGCAGGGGTTTGCTCGAGGCCGCGTGTCGCTCTTCAGGGTTTGTTGAGGCCAGTTGGGGAAAACGAACCCTTGTCGGAGTACTAGCCAGAATTCGCACGGATTGAAGATAATGATGTTGATGATGAGGCTTCCTGTTTCCGAAGGCGAAATTGATGAGATCCGCCATGTGCATTGTCCCCATCCTCCTTTTCTTCCCCCTCCGAAGACTGGAGGAATCCCCCGAAAAGTGTCTCCCTGCTTCGGAAAACCCCCAGAAGCCTTGCATTCATTGGGGTATCCTAAACCCTAAACCCTAAACCCTATAGGGTACCTGATTCCCTCATTCCCTGCTACGAACCGGGCCCCCCCTAGCCTTGGCCCGTACCATAACAAGTGGTTCTTCACGGCAAGGGACCAGAGTTTTGGGTTTTGGGTTTAGGGGTTAGGGTTTGTATACTCTTTGCGGTCTGAGGGTGATTACTTGAAAGCCCTTTTTTGACTTAGCAAGTAGGGTTAGTACGGCGGGTTAGGGGGATTATAACAGGGTTTCGGGGGATGCTAAGTAGACTTACTAAGTCCAAAGAGCTTCTAAGTACCTAATATAGACCCCCCGCCCCCAGATAGTAGGATTCCCTGGTAAGGACGTCAAAAGGTACCCTGAATTTTGGATTTGTTTAAGGATTACGTTTTTAGTGGGAGGAGGGGGGGGGGGCCTGAGGATCAGCTGGAGGTAGGCTTAGATTCAGCGTGCTGGTCTTCTCGGAAATCTGGGGTCAGACAGTCAAGGGCTATTTCATGCTTCTCTAGAGCAGTGCGTTGCGGCGGCTTCTTGGGCAAGGCTAATGGGCTTGGTGCTAGGCCTTTCGCGCGAAAGGGCATGCCCTGAAGAGCATGGATTCCAGCACCCCGAAACTGAGTGAAGTGGAGGTGGTAACCTGTAACCTTTTTGGTGAATCCTACTTGTAAAAGGTGAACCTTTTGTGGGCCAGGGTATTCAGCCCCTAAGGCCTAAGGTAGAGGGCTGAGGTTAATTAGATATTCGGAGAGCTGCAGGCTCCGCAGCTGGGCTTTGCTGACATCCCTTGTCCGGCCCGTGAAGAGGGTTGTGATAAGGGCTTCACAGGGGGCCCCCGTAGGGTTTAGGGTTTAGGGGTGCAAAAAAGACGTGCCCCGTCAGATCCGAGGCACTAAACCGCAAACTCGAGTTCCCCACCCCCAGCACGATCAAACCCCAGAGCTTAGGGTTTGGGGCTCAGGGAACCCTAAACCCTAAACCCTAAACCCTAAACCCTAAGCCCTAAACCCTAAACCCTAAACCCTAAACCCTAAACCCTAAACCCTAAACCCTAAACCCCCCACAGGTGAGGGCCATGTGGAAGTCCTTCAGCTGCTGCTCAAGGCTGGCGCTGACAAGAACTTGGCCACTCACGGCGGGAAAAGGCGGTCGAAGAAGCGCTGAAGTAGGGTTTAGGGTTTAGGGTTTAGGGTTCAGGGTTCAGGGTTTAGGGTTTAGGGTTTAGGGTTTAGGGTTTAGGGTTCAGGGTTTAGGGTTTAGGGTTAGGGTTTATAGGGTTTCTAGGAGTGCTTCTTAGACCCCGCAGCCCTCCCAT